TTAAAAAAAGTACTTAACTTTAAAAAAAATAAAATTTGATAAATTTAATGTTTTTATTTAAATACAAATAACTAATACGAGTTGTACCTTTTCAAATAGATTGAAAAGAAAAAAAGTCCACACAAACTAGGGTAAAGAACATAGGAAATTAGCAAATATGACTCTTTTATTTTGCAATTAAAAAGTAATATACTTTTTTCTGTTTTATATATATCGAATGACTTCCAAAAAATGATCTTACCTACTTTTTACCCATCCATACCGGATCCAAAGAAAACTCAATTCCTCTTTTATTCAGTTATAAAATATGTTTGGATCGAGTTTAAGTAAAAGAGGAATTGAGAACAGATCTAGAGGGGTAATGTAAACGAGTAAGCTAATATTTTTAAAGCCAAGTTTCATTTTTGAATTAAAAAAACACATTTTTTTAAGAAATACGAATAAGATGTACATACGCACCGTTTTGTTTATACCATCAAAGTATACACTTTAATGATATCATCAAAGTATACACTCTAATCATGATATCAAACCGTAAATGGTACCGTACAAGTGATCTTTTGTAAGGCACATATATACGCACCGTTTTGTTAATGAAAGATTAATTATCCGCTTAAAATTAGTGGGGTATCTACTCAATTTACATAGTATATTTAATTCGAGAGGCGACACGTAGTCGAAATAAGAGATTTGCGCATGTATCTAGATCGCCGCCTGAACATCAATCAATTGCTCCTGCCGCAACAAAGCACATGGTAAATCCCATCTGGGCTATACAACGTAGTTACCCCACAGTTTTACACATGACGAGCGCCGTCCGTCCCTCTTTTAAGGGCTCCATATATCGATTATCGAGTTGGCATTACATAATATAGAGAGATACATGCATGCAAAATGTAGTCCCCAGTGAACGACACTTGCAAAAGAAGGGGTTAATTATATATATACCTGTCGCATGATCAGCAATACTACTTTGGAATCCGCTACTGTTACGTCTTTCAATTTTTCTTACGATAAGTCAATAAGCAGATAAAAGTCTTTTCAAGAGCAGAGCCGTGACAGATTTTATCAACAATTCCATTGGGCCATAGCAACGAGCTCAGTGGGAATGTGAAATGAATTCTTCCTCAGTGCCGTCGCCTGCTAAAATCTTAATTGTAATGCTCTCTCATCCGACACGTTATCATACTCATCAAACTCCAGCATCCTTTTTTACAGGTTACGTTGACGTGGAAGAGTATCGCGCGGATGAAAAGAAGATGGTTCATCTTTTTATAAGAATTTGAACAATCTACTAGCATGATTTTGACTTTCCGACTCAGCAAGCTTTACATCATCTTTTTGAAAACATATAACAACAAACTTGTTTTGTTTCTTCCTTAATTTGAATTTAAAATATGCATATCCAACCTCTAGTATGATCTAGGAAGAAGTTTCTTTTTTCACCCCATTCCACTAAAACATTTAACAACAAACTTGTTTCTTCCTTAATTTGAATCTAAAACATAGTAAGATCTAGCAACAAGTTTTTTTTTTTTTTTTCACCCTATTCGTAGTCTATATTGAAGATTCGATTAAATTTAGATTTTCACCCAACGTTTTTAGTCTATATTAAAGATCATATTAAATTTAGATCGCATATTGTAAAATCTATTTAGAAATAAGCGACCATATCCATAAGACCATGACTCAAATTGGAGACCTCTTGTTAAGGATTCCAACACACCACAACTAAACAAATTAATCCGATGATACGTGATTGCATGAGTCACATTTCAATAATAATATATAATTATATAGTTTGAAGAAATATCACGCAGCGAATTCCATTCACAAAAGAGTATAAAACCCAACATACCTCGTTCCTTTTGATGAGGAGAACAATACCACCTTCCTTTTTAATTTCAAATTATGATATAATTTAAAACTACCGAAATAAATAAATATTTTTATACATTCTACCTATCTTATTTAATTTAAGAACGAACAATATTCGGAGAGTACATATGTATATTTTGACAAAATTTCAGACCACGGTCATCCGGGGGGATTTTAGTTTGGGCAAACTCCATAAATCCCACTAGTTTAGGTCCTAATTACTAGAATTCATGATAGTTTCGAAAATTACTTCTTGTACCATATTTCTTCCTTTAGATACATGTATCATTACTCGTCAGATACATGTATCCAACAATTTTAAAAATCGAGATACATGTTTAATTAATTCACATGGACAATTAATTAATTCTGGAAATATTAATCAAATTCCTTAATATAAATCAAGGAGTGTATCTTTGTTTAATTAATTTCATTTTATTACTCTTTATAATAATAAATTCATTAATATTATTAATAAAAGACAAAAACATGTATATCTTGATTATGAAATTTGACTAATTTCAACTTATTACTCTTAAAATAATAAATTCATTAATTTGATGTATTTATTATCAATAGATGATATATCCAATAAAATAAACACTTAGATACATTAGTGTACGGTATCTAGTATTAATTCACGTATCTATTTATACGATCTAATATTAAATTCATGTATCTAGTATTAATTTGATGTATCAAGTATCAATTTCATACGTTATATCCAACAACTTGTATCTCGAATACATATTGATAAGGAGATACATTTAATTATGTGTATCTAATTATGAAATGTAACTAAAACACATGAATTTAGGAACAAATCATGATTGTAGAGTATTTGTCTATCATTAATTTAAAAAAAATCAAAATTAATACCCAAGAAAGATTAGATACATGCATACTTAATAAGATACACTGATAAAACTATATACTTATAAACTAGATACATATAATCACAAAAATTATGTGTGAGATACATCGATAATGTATTGAAACTTTTCGATTACGTTAGTGGTTGCTCAGGACATCTCACCACGGCGGTGTTTGCTTCACTTTTAATTTATCGATGTTGCTCATTGCTCGCTGCGATTAGATCTAACGGACCTCCGCCAGATCAACCGAAAAATCAACATAAGCACTCCTCCAATTGAGCCTTTCGACCTCCAAATCGCCTCCGACGTTGATGTGATCTCCGGATAGTAACAATTTGAAAACGAAAGGCTATAGATTAATTATATGAATATGCATTGATACATTTAATTTAAGGAAGGTAAGAAGCAAGAAATTGATGAACAACTTGTACATAACTTCTGGTTGGTGACCCGCAGAAACAATTTTAGGAGTAAAAATGGTGACTAATCGTTAATTAGTAGGGGGGGGGGGAGATATTGATAGGGTTGAAGATTGGTTGTTATTAAAACACTAATTGTGGATTTTAAATATAAAGATAATTAATCAATCCTAATTTTAAGAGATGTGGGTATCTTTTTTATTGTATCTTAAAAAATATATGGTATAAAATATTAAAAGTGGTAATATATGTAATTGTTTGAAAGTAGAGGCAAAATGTGTATATATGGTAGTGATGTATGTCAAGTTAGGTAGTTTTTCCTTTTAGTTTTTGCAAAAGAAAAAACAGGTGAAAAGATAGATACTCCAATACTTCCATTTTCGAAGTCCATGCCCTCTATATATCCACTCTTAATAATACACATCATTAGACTTGAGATGTATAATTATTAGTTGAGAAAATACATAATTATCTTATCGAACTTATACCAGTTTTTTGAAGTAGACACCTAAAGTTTGTGTGAGTTTTATTACCCCACGAAATTATTTTAAAGTAGCATATATACCTCCTTTTTCGGTCATTTTCAGTTGAAATAAGGCAGGTGCAAATCACGCACCAACCCTAATCTACCACTTGTCATTCACTATTTAACTTTTAATTCTTTTCATTTTTTGCCTTTAATTTTCTATTTTATTTCCTTTTCTTTTCTTTTTTGAATTTTTTCTCTTTTAAATTTCTACTTTGCCTCTGATTTCTTAAATTTGTTTTTTGAATTTCACCACCACAAATCATAGTGACAACACTTCAACATTGCACTACTTAATCACTACTAAGTCATGACAAATAATCAAATATGAAAATTAGAAGTTCTATCAAACCAAAATTTAAAGTGACAACACTCCATCATTGCACTACTTAGTCACTACTAAGTCATGACAAATAATCAAATATGAAAATTAGAAGTTCTATCAAACCAAAATTTAAATCATCATCTTCATCCTAAATCGCCTTCTTTATCTATTAGCATCACCATTTTCGATCTTTAAGTTTTAGGAAAGAGAAAACTATTTATTTAAGTTTTAAAAAGAGGAAGATAGAATCTAATAATATCGCATTTTAAAATACAAAATTTGAGAAAGAATGGTGATTTTTAATTTTCGGTGGCTTCTTAAAAGGCTATTAATGGTGATTTGGGGAAGATGGATCTAATTTATTAATTAGAAAAATCAAATTAAAAATACCACATGGTATTTTAACACTGGTTTGGGGCTGTAATACTACTCCTTCACACGCTCAATTTTTGTGAGAAAACAATTACAATAAAAATGGCTGAAAAGGGTGTATTTATCGTGAATATAAATAGTTTCGTGGGGTAATAAAACCCGCATACTTTAGGTGTCTACTTTAAAAAAGGTAGAAGTTTAATAGGGTAATTAGGTATTTTCTCTTATTAGTTTAAAATTCTTTCAAATTAGACTTCGTGAATACAGACTATTTAACTCAAGAATATAACCTCAGATTCCACTCAAACTTTAAACTGGATTAAATTTCATGACCACCGGATTATTGCCATACGTTCCCCTAACAGGAACAACCACGTTCATTTTCCCCTCCAATCTCCTCCAACTTATCTTCATTATCAAATTAACTATATACTACCTTTTTCGTTCTGTTTTTGGTCTATCTTCACACAAATGTTGCTAATTTTTATAAATTAACTTTGATGCGAAGATGGTAAAAAAGTTAAAAAGAGGATTGTCCAAATCATATAAACGTATAATAATACTGGAACAAACAATTTGATGAAAAAATATGAAATAAAGGAGAATGATAAATTGATTGTGTGAAATAGTTGAACAAAATATGTGAGATGTTAAATTAGAAAACAGGAAAACAAAACCCCAAAGTCAGATTACAAGATCATGATCTGTTTCCATGGTTCAACTACGACTACTAGTAGTAACTGTATTTCAACAAGTATCCCTAACAAACATCGATCTCCATAAACCACACAACACCGCTCAAACCCCACCTTGAAGAAACCAAGAAAACTAAAATAAAAACTCACCTAAATAAAAAAGAACAGTTCTAAACCCATAAAGATATTCACAATTTTTCTTCTGATAAAAGCACATGCAAGTGTGCATGTTCTCTATACGTAGACAAGCACAAGGTGGCAAGTATTATTAGTGGTTCGGCATATAGATTTACTTCTTTACCCTTCAGGTGGAGTTGATATTACTTTAATTACGTACCGCCCCAAGGAAAGAGCTGCTTCTGTATCCAACCTCCATGCAAATCCTCCGCCGTCCATTCTCCACACATCACACGGAAGAATCAATGAGTTCTTCTCCTTCCCGCATCTGACAACCCGAACCCGGCAAGTGAACGCCGCCGTGGATTTGTTATCCGGCAGCCGTACATCATCTTTCATCACGAGCCAAACCACCACTTCCCCTGCCCCTTCACCCACCATCGCCTTATACGCCTTGTTGGCCCACCTTACTCTGTTTAAACCGTCTGATATAAAACCTGGACAGCTGTCCCGCTCCAGATTTATCAGTTTTTCCTCATCCGTACGTCCTAGCCCATACCCTTCCACCCACGCGTCTGTCACGCTTTCCACCTTTACCCATGACCCCACTACTCGTACTGGCTGAGGAAACATCACTCCTCCATACCCCTGGGACTGACCATTATTATTCTCTTGGTTACCACCAAAACTCAACCAGATCGGAGAATTTTTTTTCACTACGTCAACCGAACGATCCTTCCTTTCAGGGCTCTCCGATAACAAGGGAAGAGTTACTACCGTTTCTCCACCAGACACCGTTTTCCCACTGGATTCATTTTCTTCAGGCGACGGAGCTTTCCTTTTCCTACCACTAGGACTACTCCCGCTATTAGATCTCTTGCTATTATTACTATTTTTATTATTCTCCTTAACATACCTTCGCTTCCACCGTCCAGTACGAACCGGAACCTCAGTCTTTTGTGGTGGAGTAGTAGTGCCGGAAACAGAACTACCGGCTGCTGCTGGTTTAGGTGCGATAGGTCTGAATTTAAGCATTATCCTATCCACTTTTGACATATCGTACGCACCTCCTGCGTACCTAGCAATACAGCACCCTCCCCTCCCATCCATTTATGGAGTTTTAGGAAAATGAGATTTCTATTTCTATTGTAAGAGTAATAAACTTTTGATATTGATAGGAATGAAGAGAGGAGTAAAAGGAGGGGAGGTGAATTTATAGGTGGGAAGAGAGAAGGGAGGACGCGTGTGAGGGAGTTGATTAACACGTGGGAGAAGAGCGGTGAAACAGCGCAGAGAGCTGATTGGCTAATGTTATAACGTGGCGCTATGTTAAGGTGAGCCCCATGTGACAGAACCCTATCGGGTTGAGGGGTTTAGGATGGGCCCGGTTTTGTACTATCCAATGAGAATGCAGGGAGTGTTTAGTATGGTATCAAAAGAGGTACACGTAGGCCTATTACGGTAGTCTTGTGGGAGGTGTATAGTGGAGTATGTTCGAGAAGAAGAACACGTGGTCCAATGGTTAGAGAATCCCGTTAGACTCTCTATAACGATTGCACCACGTGGACGGCAGATTCTACCAGCAAAAATGGTGGGTTCAATGGACTGATATTTTGACAAGAGCATGGACCATTGTTTTTTCATTTTTTACTCTCTCCGTTTTAAAAGAATGATTGATATGAAATTTAACACAATAAAGAAAAAAAATTAATTTTAATATTTTAAATTAAAGCTATATAATATTCATCAAATTATCTTTTAATATTGTGCCCTTAAATATATAATAAGGAAAATTGAAAATGATTTATTGCCAAAAATAATAAGAGAGATCATTGTTTTAGAACAGATTAAAAAGGAAAATATGTCAATATTTTTTAAACGAATAAATTATTAATTTCATCCAATTTTTATATTGAGATGTAATTAAATTTGTAAACATTACATAATTTATTTTTGAAGACAACAATCCTAACATGCCTTATTATTCGAGGTTTAGATGAATGATCTCTGTCATCTCACCATAATCTATATTGGTCATGGACCTTTGTTAGGAAAATGCATTATGTTATTAAATCGCATACATTATTGGTGTAAATAATGATCTATATTATCAATTTTACTTAATAATATTTATAGGTGAAAATTTTAAAACTAAATCTGTAATTTTTAAAATAAAACAAATTATTAGCGACAAATACAATAAATACAAGTAGTTTGATAATTAATGTAAAAGTTTCTTACATTTAGGGTATATTTATACTTAATGGGTGAACAAGTTATTCTAGTATTAGAATGCCTAGATTACAGTATGAGATTAATTGGCTAATGAATACATTTTTATTTCATAAATGTTTGATTCATTGAACTAAAATGAATAAAAATGATATTATATAAATATCAAGTATAGACAAACTTTTAATCTAATTTACATGTACTAATACAAAATATGTATTTGAAGAAGGACAAATGTGTTATTGTTTTATTTTATCCCAAGATTAATAATTCCAAAATAATTACTATTTACCCTATAGTGTTGTACGTATAGGAATAATATCACGTTTATGGCATAAAAAATAATTCCAGAGTTACTAATTACTAAATCAGAACTGTACTGTCATACATAAAATAAATTAAATCCACAATTTATTCTGGTATTATTTCCTAATTTCACTAACAAATTAAAAAAATGACCCCTTTGGACACTGATTTATCTGACGTAAAAATTTGATTATTGGATTTTTATAAACATTATTTAGAATGAGACAGAATATTTGTTCACTGCCTTACTGGGTATATATTGAATTGACAACACAAGGAACAAATAGACAGTGTTCAGTTCTAGTCAAGATTAATCTTACTCAAATATAAATGAAGTAACTTACCATTATACCATACTATATAGTATTCATTTCTTTTATTTTCAATAAGGTGAACATAAATTGCAGACATTTCCTATACTATCTACTTGAGCTTTTACATTTATTTACTCAATAAATAAATATATATAAACTAAAGATCTTGTTCAAAATTTTCATAGTTGTACGTCTTGTTAGCCTATGAGATGTTTTATTACGAGAGTTTTATTTGATAAGTTGATCTTCTATGAGATTTTTATTACGAGAGTTTTATTTGATAAGTTGAACTTGTGGATCATGTAAGATTAAATATTTTAATACATAATATCAGGATCTTGAACACGATAATCTTACATAGAGATTGTTAGGGGCACATACCTGATGCGGAAGACATCATCACAGAGAGAAGCGGAAGCGTTAGTCGTAAATTGGTTTCTACCTCCTTGCCCTACCTTTATGTTACCACAACCGTCAGCGATGAAATTATTGTAGATAATATGTGATAACCCTAATGGGTGGAGGGATGACCAATTTATAGAGGTTATGACTTAATCTGGTATGTCCATCAAGTAACCAATGTACGGACGAGATCTAATTCCTTATTAAATATTATTTATGATATTACTTGGGTTACAAGTAAACTTGGGCCATAAGTAAGAAATAATTAATAATAATTAATAATAATTCTTACATTCTCCCACTTGGCCCAATGACCATATTAATATTTCATAAACATTAGTTGCGCGTATAATAAATCTCTTCTATAATGTCCATCATACATACCACAATATAACAAACTACTAATGCGAGTTATGGCGGTTGTACATAAATTTTAAGCTACATA